AGAGAGAGAGAGAGAGAGAGAGAGAGAGAGAGAGTGAGAGAGAGAGAGAGAGAGACAGAAAGAAATAGAAAGATTGAGAGAGAGATATCTCATTCCTATAAGTCCAGTAGTATTTACTTATAAATAATTGTATAATAAAGCTCCCTAGCTTCATTGGACTCAGAGCTGTTCTAGTCTCTTATAGATTCCTCTAAATATATATATAGTATAATCTCCACTTTATAACTATCCCACAGGCAAATGAAATCTCGTTATTTGAAAATAAAAATACATAAAATTTCTTTATTTCATTGGGATGATTTACACACAATAAATATAGTCAAATCTATTGAAGCTACGCACACTGATTCAATTCGCTGTACACCAAATCTTTACAAAACTGAGCACAATGGCCATTCGAGCTGAGGGACATCACAGTGGCCATGGTGCAGTCACTGGACAATTAAATATTGGGACATCTGGGGATTACCTACTACGCTACTTGCACGCCATCTGGTGCAGGAACTGGATGAGCGTACGGGTCGGGCGTCCGGACATTCGATCGCGCAGCAGATAGGGCGGCACACCGTCTTCGACTGTGAGGCCGGTGCCACGGGTGTCCAGGTGGACCCAGTCGAGGCATGGCACCATTTTGTGCAGCAGCGCCGCCGTCAGGCAGGAGGAGGCGGGTCCTCGGCCCACATTGCACATGTCGTAGGTCAAATTCGGCTCGACCAGGCGCTTGAAGTGCTGCCAGAGGGGAAAGCGCCAGACACGGTCGCCGGTAATGGAGCCAGCCTTCTCGAACTGCTGCCAGAGCATCGTGTTGTTCGTCCAGAGGCCAGTGGCGGAAGCGCCCAGCCCGTAGGCAACGCCCTTGGCGTGCGTGCCCAGGTCGATGATCATCTTCGGCTTGTGTATGTTCTGGGCGTACAGCATCGGATCGGCTAGCATCACGGCGCCGGCACTGGACACGCTCTTAATGCACACGGTCTTCCCGTTGATGAGGGTGACCACATCGCCGGGCTTCACGGCCATGCCCGACGGCATGTTCTCGCACAGTGGCAGCACGGCGGTCACGTTGATGGGCAGCGAGAGGGCTGCGGCCGCCCGGATCGTAGCCACCACGGCCGCTGCGCCACTGACGTCCGCCCGGAAGACATCCATGCCGTTCTTGGGCTTCAGGGAGAGGCCGCCGCTGTTGAAGGTCAGCCCCTTGCCAATCAAGAGCAGGGGCTTGTCCTCGGGCGAGCTGCCGATATAGTTGATCTCCAGCACCAGGGGCGGCTCACACGATCCCTTGGCCACCATCAGGAAGGAGTTGAGACGCTGCTCCTCGATCCAGTCCATGGAGCGCACCTCCACAGTAACGCCGCACGGGCACAGCGAGTCTATGGTGGCCTGGGCGAAGGTCGACGGCGTCATTTGATTGGCCGGCGTCTCGGAGAGCCGCCTGGCCAGATTCTGGGACTCGGCCTTGAAGAGGCCGCGTGTCCATGCATCAACGTCCGATGAGCCGTACAGCTCCACCTTGGGCACCTCAATGCGCCGGCTCTTGCGTATGTTCACGTTGTAGCGCCAGACGGCCATGGCGGCGCCCTCGGCCGCCTGCTCCGGATACTCCATGCCATCGACGGCCACATGGCTGGCGCCCTGCAGCTGCAGGGATCGGGTGCCAACAGCGGCCGCCACGCGCGCATTCTCCATGCCCGCATCGATTGCCTCCTCGGCGTCGTAGCCGATGCCCTCCTTGCCCAGGCCGACGACCACCACCGAGGAGTACTCCTTGTCCAGGTTATTGAACATCCTGCCCTTGCCGAGCTCGCCGTCCATGTTCGTCTCCTTGATCAGCTCGCTGATCTTGCCGGCAACGCGATCGTCGAACTTCTCCCCGTTCGGCGTCAGCTGAGGCGCCTTCTCGCCATCCTTCAGATAGAGCCCGATGACGACGCCCTTCTGCTCGCACTTGCTGCGAATCTGCATGAAGTGCACTCGCGGCATAAACGAGACAACGCGATTGAAGCGCAGCAGTCCCACAACTGATCTATTACAGCATAAAACTTGTGCTCTGGCCATTATTACGATGATGCGATTTAGAAGACACCAAAAAAACTAAACAAAATTATATATATTTATATAGATTGTAGAAAACTAAGAATCGACTACGAGTACTGCAATTTACAACTATTACGAAAGCGACGAAAACTTTTCTGAACAAACGTTTCTGTATAAAAAAAAAAAATCAGTGCTCTACGTTAAGCTTATACCGATAAACTGGATTGTTTGGCCCCAACAAACTTTTCGTCTCGGAACACATTTTGAAATTTGGCTTTGGTGAACTTTGATTGGTGTGAGGTGGAAACAGGGTGTGAGGGAGGGGAGTGGGTGGTAGCATCATAGGTTATAATATATAAATAAATATGAAAATTAATTTAAACTGTTGGCAAGTAAATGTGTAAATGCCAGAGACAGCAAATAACCCAAAGAAGAGTTGAAAAATATGTAGACCTATGCAATTTTTTACGGCAAGGTGATAAATAAATAAACGTTTAGTTTCTACTTTTTTATTTTAAATTAAAATATATTATTTTTAAAAAGAAGTTTCTACTTTTTTATTTTAAATTAAAATATATTATTTTTCAAAAGAAAATAATTATTATTCATTAATTTCTACATTAAAATTAAATTCTAATTTTTATTTTTCATTTTTTAATGTAATTTGCTTATAATAATTTTACAATAATTATTACTCAATACTTTGTATATATAAAATAAATTATAATTTTTATTTTACATTTTAATCATACAAAAATATTTATTAAAATATTTAAAAAAAAGCTGTAAATTATATTTTATATTATTATATATTAGTATTCATTATATGTTAATTTTATCATCAATTTGTATATAAATAATAAATAAAAAAAATTGATTTTCAATTCAAACAATAACAAGAATTTTAATACCAAAATTTAAAATAAAAATTATGATTAATTTTTTTTATATACAAATTGATGAGTAATAGTTGTCTTTTAATTTTATGAATAAATTAAATAAAATATTTTAAATTTATTTTAATATAAATCATATACATTATTTTAAAAATTTAAATAAATATATATTTGTTTCAATTTATATATTTTTTTCTTTTAATTTTTTCTACAAAAATTATAAACGTTACGCTGCCTGGTAAATACTCTTTACACTGTTCAGCAGGAGTCTAGAGGTGTCTGCCAGACCGATTGACAGCGCGTTGAGGGCAACAGCGATAATTGCGACATTTATGAATGCCCATTAACTACTTCAAGTGGCTTGAAATTTTATAGCAATGATTAAATTTGCAATTATATAAATCAGTGACGGCAGCAACAACAACAAAAACAAGTGCTGGCGAGAAAAAAAACAAGCGCCGAGTGCAAAAAAATGCAACGAAGCCGCAGACGAAACACGTAAAAGCAATAAAGCAATAAATTGCCCAATTTGAAGGACTATTGTAGCCAATAATTTGCACAGCCACTTGGCTGGCCAGAGTGGCCAGCACACACACACTCACACACACATATATATATGTATATATATGTGTATGTGTGCGTGCCCATATAATTTCAACAAAAATATGCACATTTGTCAATGTCGCGTGATTGATGTGGTCGAACGCATTTCCGCCAAGCAGCCGCCGCGACGGTGAAAGCCCTACAACAACAACAACAGCAACAAAAAACGCACACAACCCAACCATTTTTTACATGTAAACACAAACACACACACACACACACTGACACTCACATCTACAGTGTGTAAAAAAGGCGTGCATGTTGGGCCCCAAAGGATGCTGGCGGCTGTGTTGGCGACATTACGCGATTTTACGCATGATTTAAAATTAATGACAGCGGCGTCGCGACGTTGCTGCTGCCACTGGCAAGAGAGCTATAGCACACACACACACAAGTACTTAATATGTGTGTGTGTGTGCGTGTGTATAAACAACACACCTTGGCCCACACTCTGCACACACACACACTGGAGTCAGTCGCCATGCAGGATGTTTAATTTCCTAAATGCATAAATCTCACTAATACGCACAACAAAATCTAAGCGCGGCTTATGCGATTGCCGCTTTTTTGTGCCCGACTACAACAACAACAGCAACAACAATAAGAATAGCTAGAGCCATGGCTACGCGCACAACATCCGAAAATCATAAACAAACTTCAAAGGACATTTACAGCGGACAATCGGACAACTGGCCAAACAAAAAGAAAAATATGTATGTATATATATGTATATATGTATGTGTGTATATGCATGTATAGTAGCAGCAAAATATAAACGAGAATTTCAGCCAATGCTGAGCTTATTACGCACAGATACGAGCCACGCACTCGCCCACTCGCCCACTCAGCCACACGGCACAAGCCACAACAATTCAGCTTCATTTGTGCTGCGGCTGCCCCACAATGTACACATCCACGTGCGTTACGTATACGCAATGTTGTTGCTGCTACCTGTGCGCCGATAACAGCCTACGCGCCAACCCCCACCCCGCTGCCCCGCCCCCTCACGTGCTGCTTTCATTTCTATTTCCGTTTTCACTGAACGCCGCCGCACAATGCCCACTTTAAACTTACGACTGTTGCGGGTGGTTGGGTGGCTGGACGGTGGGATCAGGCTCACCTTTTTTGTTGTGCCGTGAAGCCGTGCTGCTTGTTCGTTCTATCGTTTGTTTGTTTGTTTGTTTGTTAGTCAGTTTGTTTGCCGGTTTATGCTTTAACCTACGGAAAATTGCCAATTGTTGTTGGCATGCAAATTTATGGCTTATTTGTTTTGCCTTTTGTACTACACACATCAGTCTGCATGTGTGTGCGTGTGTGTGCGTGCGTCTGGAGCGTGTGCGTGTGTAGAAGCCGCTTACTACACGTCAACCCTTTTCAACAGACTAATTCGCCCAAACAGGAGCGTTTCAGCCGAAAGCCCATAACTATAAGCCATAGAAAATCATTAGGGCCTAAATCAATTGACATTAAAGCGACTTAAAGTCAGGCGAAATATACATTAGCAATGAACCTGGGCAGTATCATTATTAATAACGGTTATTGTTAATGATAATACTCATTAGTTGGTTGCATAACATATTAATGTAATTTATGGATTAAATAAAGAATAGAATAGATTATTGATAAAAATTAATTATTGAATATAAACAGATAAACAATAAATAATAAATATATTAAAAATTATATATTATATATTATTATAAAAAGATAGAATTAAATCTGTAGAAATTTAAGAATATGAAAAAATAAATAAATAATACTAAAAATGTATTAAATTTTTTTTTTGTAAGTGTGCAAATTAATTTATTTTAAACAAGCCTAAAACTGCAATCTAAAATTAAAGCATTTATAAATATTTAATTTAATTTTCAAGGCTTTTGTATTTTAATATTTATTTTTGTATTTTAATACAAATTATTTTTTATATTATTTTTTTTCTATTAATTTATTTTATTTTTTTTTTATTTTATTTTTTATTTTTTTATTTATTTTATTTATTTTATTTTATTTTATTTTATTTATTTTTTTTTTTTTTAGATTATTTGCATTGTTTTACATTGCTATGTATATTAGAAGACTTTTTCTTTGTTATTAATTTTTTATTTTTCATTTTATATGCTGTGTCAAAATAATATAATTGTGAATTACATAAGAAATCCTCTCATAGTTAAACCTAACACAAACTCTCTCGCCTAATTGGGCCTCTTTTCGTTCGGCCCGTTCAGCCGCTCCTGTTAATTTTTGTATCAAGTTCTCTCATTGTTTAGCCGCTTTTTGACCCAAATGCCGGAAGTCGAACGATGGAAGCAAAAAGCTTTGACCTATCAGTAGATTTCATTAACAGAAATTTAGATAAGCATTAGTGTTGATGCCGACCCAAGGCGCAGACATCGACAAGGAGCGCGACCAGATCCCGGACATGGGATATAGTTGTAAATGTGGTTTTCGTGTCTCTGCAGCAGTTTTTCCTGTTTCGTGCTTGGCGACTTTAATGTGAGCTGTGGCAAATTACAAAAGTAAATGCGTGGCTGGTCTGGTCTGGTCGAGGAGTGCATTTATCTGGGCAATGGAATGAAATCCTCCGGCGAGTCGTAAATTTGCTAGTTGCATAAATCACGCAATTGAATTCTAATTTTTGGCTCACACACTGCACACACTCACACACACACACATTGTCCGATGGCCAGATAGAGTAGAGCTTATTGTGCGTCTGTCTGGACTGAAATCAATCATGATTTTTAATGCACAAATGGGAGCAATTACAGTCAGTCGGGCAGACAAAAGAATTTACACTTGATTTATTGTTGTTTAGCCTGCAAGCTGATTGTTTATGTTTATTCTCTCTCGCTCTCTCTCTCTCTCTCTTTCTCTCTCTGTGTGCATTAGTCTGAGCCACAAGGCTTCCAGCCAAGTGCAGTTTAAGTCTTTTGTTATATTTTACAATTGCAAGTTCAATAAGCCAGCCAACAAATTGTCTAGAATTTTATACTCTCTTCTGTCGACGGTATCATACTTTTGTTACTAACTGTGACAGCTTAATCGGATGTACTATAATTACCTCAAAGCAAATATATATTTGCTGGTGTGTGTAGGCCAAAAGGTGAAATATCTGGCCAGCAAGTGGGCGAAATTAAGGTCAAGACTGGCATCTCAAAATCGTTTTACTAGAAAGCTGTTTTAGCTACAAGTGCGCTTTGCCATGGAAATGCTAAGCAGATTGCGTGGCTTAGGCGGCTGCTTTCAGCTTTCAGTTTTCATTGCAAGCGGAAGAAGATAAAATGTTTATAAATTTAAAATACAAATTTGTGCAGTTGTGCTGCCAGTAGATAAGCATTTAATTTAATTAAAATAAATATATAGGTAAGATTTAAAGTTTATGAAATAAAGCAGCAGAAACAGAAATTGATTTACTTAAGATTATTTATTGGTTAAAAATGGCATGGTTGTAAATAAATTTAAATAATATATATACATATATATATATTTGTTGAAAATTAAACACATGTTTAGAAATTATAATCGAATCTAATAGTATATAAATTATGCATGTCTTGTATAACAAATATTTAATATTTGTCAAAGAAAAGTTATTCTACTCAAAGACTCGACAAGCTGACTGAAAGTCAAAATATTAAATATTAATTAACAAGTATCACTTTTAGTTTTAAATCAATAAAACATTTTTATTTTTGCGTATTGCTTAATATGTTTATTTATGCACACATCTAAG